GGGGTGTGATGAAGCAGTGTCTGTACTATGAAATAGGGCTGGTTGGAGGAGTGGGCATAGAGGACTTGACTCTTAAGTCTGAGGGGTGTGCAACCATGGAATGGCAGGCAGAGCTGTGTAAGTGGTGATGAGGGGCAATCAAGATTTCTGAATGGAGGACTTCCATGGCAGTCCAGCAGTTAAGACTCCTCACTTCCACTGCAGGGGGCATGGGTTCGACCCCAGGTCCCCTGGTTGGGGAAGTTCCACATGCTGCATGGTGCACCAAAAAAAAAAAAAAAAACCAAAGATTTCTGAATGAAGTCTACATACAGACCCTAGGAGGGACCCTAGGGGCTGATCACTCCAGCAATTTTATCAAAACTCTGTGCTACTCTCAGATAAGAAACTGGCTGGAAACAAGAAAAAGACTTGAATTATATTTAATCATCTTGTCTGAAGGGTGGAGGAATGTTTCACCATCTCAGTTCTTTACCCAGAAAGCTGGCACCATGAAAGGAGCTGTCATACGAGCAAGGACGCCAGCACTCTCATTTATTAATTTGTATGTTCCACTTTAATTAAAATCATCATAGCTAATCACTCATTTCAATGTGTGCTGCAGCAGCTGAATAAACTGGAGGACATGACAAAGGGGAAAATAAACTCTGCTCTCTCCCAATGTTTTCAGCTTTGCTTTCCCTTTCCCATGTAGTGATTCAAGGGAAAGGTTAACTTAAAACCTTCTATTCTTGCCTCTGTCCCTAGGAAGTAAGCCTTATGTTAAGTGAGTGAGTATAGTAGAATATGAGCTGTGACATCCATACATGTGTATTAGGATGTGAAGGGCCAGGTTTGTAATTGTTGTTCGGTCGCTTGGTGGTACCTGACTCTTTGTGACCCCATGGACCGCAGCATACCAGGCTTCCCTGTCTTTCACTATCTCCCGGTATTCGCTCAAACTCAAGGTTTATAAAAGGTGCTCACTAAGTAACAGTCCCCATCATCACCACCATCATCTCACTCAGCTGGGCAGCATCTCCTTCTCCGCCAGCTCAGCCCAGCCACCACCTCCTCTGGGACGGCTCCTCTGAGCCCCTCTTCCCTCCGCTGTCGATTCCCATCACCTGACTGTATTTGAGTCTGCCATTGACTTGGGTGCCCAACTGGTGTACACAGTTAAGCGACTGTTTTTTAGGGCTGAAATGAAAATAGTATTTTTCTAGTATCTAGTATATTTTCAAATGGCTATCAAGTTAGGAGGACATAGACAATTGTTAAATCGTTCACATACAGTAACATAACAAGCCAAATTATTAGGTGTTTTCCTTTGGCCTAGATATACTGTGAAAAAAATGACTGAGATGCCAAGGATACTCACTGTGAACCAAAACAATTCACAAACTTCTGGTGTAGGAAAAATGATGATATTCAGAACTAGAGAAATAGCAATGCTTATTATTATTGTTATAACATCCTAGTTATAATACCATAATTACCAGCTGACAGTAATACTGTCACTATTTTCTAGGCATTATTCTAAGCATTTGGGTGTGCTTTAAGTAAGAGGGTCGCATGTACTAACTCCTTTAATTCCATCAACAGCCCTAAAGTAAAAAGTTTCTCTCTCTCACATTAGAGAGAAGGAAACTAAGGCCTGCAGAGGATGAGTAACTTGCTAAAGGTCACTGAATGAATGGATGCCTTAGCTGGGATTCAAATCTAGGCATCCTGACTCCCCACTCAGACTTAACCACCTGCTTACAGGGATGCAATGAAGAAGACAAGAGTTGAGATGCATGGATGGCAGGATGCACAGGTTTTAGGGACTGGAGACAGTAAGTGTTTGGGGATGTCCATCCAGCCCACTTTCTTTCGGAATGCTCCCACCCAGAGCCACCTGACTCAGGGGACTTTGGGAGACATGTGCAACTGTGGCCCCAACTCTGAGCCTTGCCCTTGAACATGTCCACAGGTTCCTGGAAACCTGCCAGGTGACCCAAATGAGGCCAAGTGGAGTCTCCTCTAAAGAATTAGGAGCTGAAGCACTGAGTTTCTGTTGCTTTTCTCTGTCTGTATCAATAAATTCAGGAAGATGGTTATCATCATAAGAATGACAGGACGCAAAAGTCAAGATTCACCTCCTCTTGCTTTTGAGGTAGGGGTTTGTCCCCCTGATGATTTTTTAACTGGGGGATAATTGCTTTACAGTGTTGTGTTATTTCTGCCGTACATGAAGTGAATCAGCTCTGTGGACATATATATCCCATCCCCGTTGGACTTTCCCCACCACTACCCCACCGCAACCCCTAGGTCATCACAGAGCACCAACCTGAACTCCCTTGGCTGTACAGCGGTTCCCGCTAGCCGTCTGTTTTACACGCCAGCTCAGCTCTGTTCAGCTGCTCAGTCATGTCCGACTCTGCAACCCCATGGACTGCAGCATGCCAGGCCTCCCTGTCCATCACCAACTCCCAAGGCTTACTCAAGCTCATGTCCATCGAGTCGGTGATGCCATCCAACCATCTCATCCACTGTTGTCCCCTTCTCCTCCCTCCTTCAATCCTTCCCAGCATCAGGGTCCTTTCCAATGAGTTAAGTTTTTCGCATCAGGTGGCCCAAGTATTGGAGCTTGGGGTTTACACACGGTAGTGTATATATGTGAATCCTCCCCCTCCCACCCTCCCAATTCATCCCACCCTCCCCATCCACCACCTACGTCTGTTCTCTATGTCTGTGTCTCTAATCCTGGCCTGGAAATAGATTCATCTGTACCATTTCTCTAGATTCCACATATATGCATTAATATACGGTATTTGTTTTTCTGACATGCTTCACTCTGTATGACAGACTCTATGTTCATCCACATCGCTCCTTGAGGTTGATTTGTTCAGTGGTTCTGCAGAGTTTGTGAAATCAATACTCTGCTGATAGTTTCTTTAATTTGAATCAAACTTCCTAAATGTCTGGCTGTTGTAACAGGATATTTAACTAGAACCCTGAACATAAATGTCATGAAATAAACCACTAAAAAGGAGGTGGGCAATACCTCCATCACTATGGTGTTGGTGGTAGTTTAGTCACTCAGTCATGTCCAGCTCTTTTTGACCCCGTGGACTGTAGGCTGCCAGGCTCCTCTGTCCATGGGATTATCCCGGCAGGAATACTGGAGTGGGTTGCCATTTCCTCCTCCAGGGGATCTTCTTGACCCAAGGATTGAACCCGTGTGTCTCCTGTCTTGAAGGCAGATTCTTTACCGACTGAGCCAGTTGGACGGCCATAGATGTCACTCAGAATGAGGACTTAGGTTGGGTCATCTCCTCTTAGAAACTAGGCAGGTCTGTGGTGTTTGCATAAACAAACAGTTTGGAAAGTTCTGCACTACCAGAGGTCAACCATTTACCCAGCAATTATGCTGCTGTCAGATTGTAAATACACATTTGCAAATTTCTCTCTAATTGTTCAGAAACCATGCAGGCCTGTTCCTGCAGGCTGGTTACAGAATGTTAATGGGTTAACTTACCCAACCTCTGGTTTTGAGGCTGGAGCCAGATTTGTACCATTTCAACATTTCTGGGCATAAAGCTGCAGATTGAGTGTTTTCCTCTGCCGGCTCTCAGAAAATCAGAATTCAGCAGCAATGGACAGTGGCATGGCTGACTAAATGGATTCAGCATGTGGGCACCATATTTTCAGCTACAACATAGGACCCCCTCTTGTCCCTGATCTGGTCTAGGATGGCTAATACCATAATTAAGGAAAGAAATCTCTGCTAACTCTAAAGTTTGACATATGATGATGCCCCTGTAAGAAGTAGATTTCAAGGCATGTGATGCAGAATATATCTCTTTGACTTCTGATTTGAGTGTTGTGTTTGAAATGAGTTTTTCTGCTATCATATTAAGGCAGATAATCTGCCCTGATTGTTGGCCTCTCATATTCTTTCAGCTATTTTGGATCATGACTGTCAAACCCCGCCAACACCCAAAGTCATTGTGCGCATGTCCCAGGAGCTGTATGTTAAATGTCAGATCATCTTGAATTCTAATTACTGGCAACACCTCAAGTTTGGGTGAATATCCATCCAACCATTTTCAAGTGTTATGGTGTATTATTCAGGCTGAAGCTCTGCTGTAACAAAGTGACCCCAATTACAGTGGCAGAAATGACAGTTTTCTTTTTCTCCCATGTAACAGTCCCAAGGGAATAGCCCAGGATGGCGGGCTGCTCTGCTTCACAGTCTTTCAGAGATCTAAGCTCTTACATCTTTTAGCTCTGACTTTCCTGCAGGAATTGTCTTCATCTGTAAAGTCAAGGCTGGGTTGCAGATAAATCATGGAAAAGGCAATCAAGGGAGTTTGGTTTGTCTCTTAAATTGAAATTGGAGATGACCAGCAAGAGCGATTTCACATCCCATCGGCCTAAATTCAATTTCAGAGCTACATTTAACTGCACTGGAACTTAGTCAATGCTGGTTCTGCCTGGGGAGCTATGGACTCAGCTTCAACTCTATAGCCAAGGAGAAGGAGGAGGGTGTGTTCTGATGGCCAGTCAGGAGTTTCTGTCACATGTAACAACAGAGAGAGAGGTAACCTCTCACAAATAAGATCAATGCCACATGGTCATAAATTCACCAAATATTTTTAAAATGTTGATTTTATTTATTTGGTTGTGCTGGGTCTTAGTTGCAGCATACAGGATCTAGTTCTCTGCTCAGAGATTGAACTTGGGCCCCCTGCTTTGGGAGCTCAGAGTCTTAGCCCCTGGACCACTTTTATTATACATGTAAGAAAAGTATTGTTACACATATTGGGGGTAAAACTATGCAATAGTATAAACACATTTTTCTACTTTTGAAAGACTTGCTTTTTCAGACAGTAGAGGGCAACTGGGAAAAAAGCAAGGTTTTTTACCTTCAAGTTGCAGTAAAAATATTCGCACCTGTCAAATTCCAGCAGTTGGTGGAATCCTTGTTCCGACGAACACTGCTCAGAGAGTCATTTGGGTGTTGGTCTCATAAATCATAACTTGCTCACAGCATGTTTCTGAGGCTTCAGGAAGGACTCTTCAGAGGGTGGTATCAAATCTTTGAGATTAAAGTCAACCTCAAAGGAGGGTTTCTTCCCCAAAATCACTAAGGCGGTAAACACGGCACATCTTGCGGTCAGTCCCCGGATGTGGTACGTTGCGCCATCCTCAGGGTCCGTGTACTCAAAGCTGTGATCAATCATGTGACAACCCCAGCGTGTCAGGTGACGCTGATGGTAAACACGGGGATGCAGGAAGTACTCCAGAGGCACCAGGAACACGTTCGTAACTTCATCCGGGTTAGGTCTGGCCTCAAAGTTGGGGTCTATAAATCCTACAACTGGCGTTATCCACATATCCTTCTGAAAGCAGAACACGGAAGACACAAACTGAGATGTGAGAGATACTGTTTCAAAACAACAACAACAAAGTATGTCTAAACGCATGCTACTTCTGCATAAACTAAGCTCACAGGCCAAAGCAGTCCATTACGTAAAACTTCCTCTATAAGTAAACTTTATGTCCCTTAAATGGAGGTGTGGGCTCCCCTGGCTCAGTGGTAAAGAGGCCGCCTGCCAATGCAGATTGGAGACAGGAGACGTGGGTTCGATCCCTGGGTCGAGAAGATCCCCTGGAGGAGAAAATGGCAACCTACTCCAGTATTCCTGCCTGGAGAATCTCATGGACAGAGCAGGCTAGGAGGCTCGTTGGCGGGGAGATTTCTATTTATAATCACCACTGTTCTGAAATGAATGCAGGGTGCTGTTACATGAAAGATTCTACCTGGAGTCTTGAGGGGGAGGCCTGGGGTTTAGTGTAGGAGCTGATGAGGGCGGCATGACCTTGAATGAGAAAGTGAGACGGATCGGGGAATTGCTGAGAGAAAGTGAGTGGGGACATCCAGGGAGACACTGTGGGGCTGGGCTCCTACAGGAGGACCAGGAGGCCTGTGGGAGGTCTTGAGGGAGGGCAGCTAAACTGTGCTGAAGAGCAGTGATGACTCAGCCTGTTAACCGAATTAGCGACCAAGTCAACATCACGACCAGGAGCGGAGGAGGGGAGCAGGGCTCCAGACGTCCCTAAGATTTCGAGAGCTGCCCCGAGGCCGACCCAGCAGCAGTCCTCACTGTGCTCGGCCACCTGAAGGCTCAGCCTCTTCTGTCACAAGGTCCCCCCAGGGCAGCCACGGAGATGAAGGCTCAGATGCCAGGGATTTCTTAAGGAAGAGCTCGGGGACAAAGGGGTGAGGGCAGGAGCAGGGAAGACAGACAGGTGGGGGGAAAGCCAGGCAGGGATGCTGCGGGGAGCTCCGGGGTATAAAGTACCTCGGGCTGTCCCAGGAGATGATGAGGGGGCTGGGCTTTCATGCCTGGCCGGGAGTAAATCAAGACAGTGCTGACTCAACATGGGGGGCGGCTCCAGGAGCCAGAGGGCATGAGTACTGGGAGAGAACTGCAGAGTGTGTGTGTGTGTGTGTGTGTGTGAGAGAGAGAGAGACAGAGAGAGAAACACAGCCTAAGAGGACTGTTATGCATATATACAGAATCGAGAAAAATGGCACTGATGAACCTGTTTGCAGGAAGGGGATGGAGACGCAGACAGAGAGGACAGACTTGTGGACACAGAGGGGCCAGGAGAGGGTGGGACGACTGCAGAAAGCAGCATCGCCGTATGTACGCTCCCGTGTGTCAGACAGACAGCTGGCAAGGAGCTGCTGTGTAACTCACGGAGGCCAGCCTGGCGCTCTGCGGGGCCCTAGAGGGGTGGCACAGTGGAAGGGAGGGAGACTCCAGAGGGAGGTGATATATGTATAATTACGGCTGATTTGCGTTGTTGTATGGCAGAAACCCACACAACACTGTAAAGCAAATTTCCTCCAATTAAGAAATAAAATAAAAAAAGAAAGCATCTGGACAGAGCCTGCCGTGTCGCTCAGCGTGCATCCGTGGCTGCTCTCTCCATTCAAAGCCCATGTGGGCCCCTCGTCTAGAATCCATCAGCCTCCCCCAGGTTCTTCATGAAAACCTGCTCCTGAAGAAGCTTTACCAATAGAAACTGGATCAGAAAAAAACTTGCCCATGGCCACACCCAGCTCCCACTTGGCAGAAGCCAGGATTCTACACCAGGCTTGCTGCCCACACGCTGGAGTCCCGCGCTGAAGTTCTATCAAAATGCTGGTCACCGAATCTCTGAGCTGGCACACCAGCAAGTGGCTCGGAGACCACGGGGCGGCGTCCCCAGCTGCGGCTCAGACCCTCTGGAGGTCTCAAGGCCACGCCTGTTGGGCAGGTGCCTGGGCAGGAACTTTGCACGGCCAGTGCCAGCCCTTGAACTGGCATGTCACAGTCTAAGGAAATTAGTGAGGGAAAACAAAAAAAGCCTCAAAGGGAGATCATGGTTTAAGACTGAATGTTCTAGGTGGGGAGTCAGGTACACTCAACAGGGTTCAAGCTTAGCAAAGTAAGAGAGACTGTGGAAACTTGTGGATGAAGCAGCAACTCTGCACATCCCATGTCTAAAATCACAGGTGTCTGAACTGGCAGGAAAAAAAGGTGGTATGTGGCAGACATCCTGCTGCTAGTGCTAAGTCACTTCAGTCGTGTCCAACTCTGTGTGACCCCATCCCTGGGATTCTCCAGGCTAGAACACCGGAGTGGGTTGCCATTTCCTTCTCCAATGCATAAAAGTGAAAAGTGAAAGTGAAGTCGCTCAGTCATGTCTGACTCTTTGAGACCCCATGGACTGCAGCCTACCAGGCTCCTCCATCTATGGGATTTTCCAGGCAACAGTACTGGAGTGGGGTGCCATTGCCTTCTCCGGCAGACACCCTGGGGCCCATAAAAGGCTGGATTTTGCCAATTTGCTGAGTTGAAATCCCACAGAGACTGGCTTCTGCTCTGTACATAGGATGAGCCAGGTTTTAGGGCTCCTGGAAGAAGCTTCAGACTATTAGGAAGAGCCTCGGAAGTCAGGATACACCACTGAAATGTTATAGGACTCGGGCCTTTGCAAAGCAAAGAAAAGGATGGAGACACAGCTATGGGCCACGCGCAGAGAAAAAGGAGAACTGTCCCTCGGGACCTCTGCAGAGAGAAGCCCACACATGTGCGATACAGTGACACGTATGAAGGTTGGCTGGGGGCTGGAAGGCCTTGGAGGGTTAACACTGGGCATAGGGAAAAGCCAGTGACACCCCAAAACATCTCCAGGCATTGTCCTGTGTTCCCCAATAGAGAAAATTACCCCCAGTCAAGAATTAGAATTCTGACTCAATTAGATTAGGCTTCTAGGCATTAAACAAATGGCATTTTTGAACCATATTTAAAAGATTTGCAAAGTCCAAAAAACAAAACGATCCGCACTGGCACTTCTAAATACACTACATCCTTCTTGAAAGCCTTTGTTCATTCTAATTTCTCGGTGGTGTGACTGGCATTATATCTGGAGCAGGTCATTTGAACACATAAACACCTGTAAGGACTGTTGTATGCGATCCCCTTACAGGCGAACTCGGTAGCTCTGGGGACCTTGGAAATGGACTTACTCTCATTTTGGGAACTTATAACCATTATGTGTTTTGTCAAGAAAGTCCTAAAATAAATCTCTAAGATGTCCCGGGAGATTTGCAGCTATCCCCTGGAAAGGGCTCCCATTAGAAAACACAGAAGAGGAAGTAACTGACATATGTCTTGTCCTAATCCCATGTTACTCTTCTCTCTGTCTCATTTCTTTCTCACTGAGGGCACATTTATGGAATGGCCTTTACCTTCTTCCAAGCTAAATCTCCTGGGAGTGGTGACCTCTCTATTCTTACAATGGACTCAATTAAGACAGATGTCAGCATCATTGATCTTCACAAAGGGCAATCTGGCTTTCTAATTTTTAGGCATCAGTGGAATTCTTCCTTTGACATAAAAATTCACATGAAAGCACAATACTATTTTAAAAAAAATTATAGCTATTCAGATAGGTGATGAGTGAAATTCACCTCTGGGGTATTATTCTTCCCCCAAGCCCATAACCTTAGCTTAACCAGGAGAATAATATCAGATAAACCCCAATTAAAGAGCATGCAAGAACACACCTGACCTGTGCACCTCACAAGTGTCAAGGCCAGGAGAACAAGGGCAGTCTAAGAGACTGGCACAGACCAGAGTGAGACGCGGCACCACACTCAACACGGCGGCCTGCGTGAGATCCCGGACAGAAGGGAGGATGTCAGCAGAAAAACTAGTAAAAGACAAGTAAAGCGTGGGGTTCAGCGATGGTAAAAGTACTGACACTCATTTCTTAGTTGTCACCAACATACCACAGTGATGTCCGACGTCAGTAACAAGGGGACCCGAGCATGGCTATGTGAGAACTCTCTGTGAAATCAGTAACTGTTCTAAAATTACAAGTATATATGAAAAATTTTATACCAGTAAAATAATTGTTATGGAACTTTAAATTTACCTTATTTACTCCTTCTGCCCTCCTCCAGGGGATCTTCCCGATGTGGGTTCGACCCCCCGGGTGGGGAAGATCCCCTGGAGGAAGGCATGGCAACCCACTCCAGTATTCTTGCCTGGAGAATCCCACAGACAGAGGAGCCTGGCGGGGCCACAGTCCACGGGGTCACCAAGAATCGGACACAACTGAAGTGCCTTGGCACGGCACGCCACTCCTTCTACAGTCAGTCAGTATAACAGTGAGAGTGTTGCGATCAGCTCATATGAAATAATGTCCACTTCTATCAGTCCCAGGACCCCTTTTGTTGTTATGTTTCTTTGTATATACTATCAAATCCTGCTTCAAACAGAAACGCAGTTACAAATAGCGACGTTTCTAAACAGCTTCCCTAGATCTCTGGATATTGCTTAATTTACGTGATATGGAGAAGCCTGGTTCCATGGTATGTGCAAAAATGAGTACCTTCACTGGCCTCCAAGGGGCTAAAATCTGGTATGTGGCATGCTCAAGTCTGTGTTATTTTTTTCAAGAGACTTCTCAAAAATAAACTGATCTGGAGAAAAATGAATGTGAACTGAATGTCAGCGAAAGAACACTGAGGCATCGACAGGGTTCCACAGCATCCAGTCTGAAAACCGCTGATGGTGTTTAGCCCTTGCATTTCTGGATAGGGAAGGAGGGGCCCAGACAGGAAGTGGGGCGTGCCCAAGGCCTCTTAGCCCAGCAGGGGCAAAGTCCGCACGTGAGCCAGTCTCTTGACTCTGCACCGCATGCTTGAGAGGACCGTGTTTAGCCAAACGTGGGATCCTGAAGATAGTGTATCTACTGCGGGCTCACGCAAGTCTAAGCAAGCCAGTCCCCTCCCGAGCCTTACATCAAACAGCAGTGGCATCAGGCAGCAGACCACCTCCACTTGATGAGGATGTAGCCCTACTTCCTCCTGGGCTTCCCGGAGAGCCGTGGCCACGTCGTCCTTGTCCGCAGGTTCACACTTACCTCCGGGAAAGCAGACCTCTCCAGGTGACCTTCTCAGCTGGATATGGACGGAACAGAGCCACCGTGTGGGATTCCAAGTTTGGTACCACTCACCCATTCAACAAGTATGTGCTGAATTTCTGTCTTGTGCCAGAGACCATTCCCATACTTGTGGCAACAAGTAGGGATAAGACCAAAAAGAAAAGTTTTTCTTTTTTTTAACTTGAGTCCTTTAAAAAAATTGAACTAGGAGAACTACCCTCATTTCTGATTTTTCTCACCTTGCCCTCCAAAGATACCATACACACACACACACACACACACACACACACAGATTTACACTGATGGAGAAACAAGGCAGAACAAAAGGATACTGAAAAGGGCAGTGTTTTGAATGGATAACCTTTATCGAGTGCTTACCATGGTCTGGGCACAATGCTTCAGATGAATTTCTTGTCAATGAGTCTGAACAGTTCTATTAGTAACTATTTTTTAAAACTGAGATGAAATGTTATTCCTTAAAAAACTTAAAAAGTATATATTTTTAAATTGAAGTATAGTTGATTTACAACGTTGTGTTAGTTTCTGGTATACAGCAAAGTGATTCAGATACACATATACACACACTATACCTGGGGTGGGATTAATCTAAAACAGTGGCTCTTGGTGGGGGCAGTCTTACCCACTGCCTCCCTGCCAAGAGAGTAGGCGATATCTGGAGACATATGTGGTTGTCACAAAGTGCGTGTGTTGTCTGTGTGTGTGTTACTGGCTTCTAGTGGATAGAGGCCAGGGATGTTGTTAAACATCCATAATGCGCGGGGTAACTTCCACAACAAAGAATTATCCAGCCCGAATGGCAATGGCTGGATAAGAAACCCTGGCATAAAAGTATTTTAAATTATTTGCTAGCTCAATTGCTTATTTTACTTCCCAAAATTTCTCTGTAAAAAGCCACATGATTCTGTGGCTTCACATACCCCTTGAACATCACAACTCTGAAAGTCCAATTGAGATTTTGGAACCCCAAACTGTGTGCCAGTGACCACATTTCATGGGGTTTTCAGATATCCTGAGACCTTAAGGTCAGGAACCTTTTTGTCACTTACCTTCTCTGACCGGAGGGTGAACAACAGGTAAAGTTTCCCATCTTTAGCCAACAATGGTAGAAGGATCGAACATCTGTTAGATGAATAATGAGAATATTCGGTCCCAAAGTCATGCTTCTTTAAGCGGGCCTTAGCGTCATCTATCAAACTGTTTCTAAAATGGAAACAAACCACAGTTTAGTAACAAGAGTTATGATAAAAAGCTCCTAAACTGGATGATGTTTCTGCTTTGATATATGTCCTGGTATTTAGCATTTCTAGTCTCAGTGTACTTTTTAATAATATGACAGCAATAATAATACCCAAATCATGTGACTTTTGATAAGATAAAATGAGGCAAAAATTACTAAGAACCCAGTTTAGTACCTGAGTTCACTTTAAAATCTAAATTAATTTTGAATGATGGTAAAATATTCTTTCAGTGGTGCAATAGTTCAGTGTTGAAACCCACAGTAAGGTTCAGGAAGACAGATTTGCAGAGCAAGTTCATTGTTACAGAGGTTATACCATCGTAAGGTTAAGGGCTTTCTCTTAACCTGGCCCTTATGTCACGTTATCAAACCCTTGTCTTCAAATACCTTATAACAGTGGTTCCCAAACTTATGCAGCAACAGAATCACCCAGAGGGCATGTTACAACATAGACTGCTGGGTCCACCTGTGACTTAGTAAAATTCAAGAATTTAGACTTTAACCACACACTGTTCTCTGAATCCATAACTATGGGTTAAGGCAGTTTTGCGTAAGGGGCAAAAGCAGGTGTTTAAGTAAGCCAGACTGGTTTCAAAGTGTTAGGACTGACTTCCCTAAGCTCCCCTTTCCTGATGTGTGACATGTTGAGGATGTTTGTAAGGATTAAATGATACAGTTCTGTGGCTGCCATTTAAATGTCTCAGTCCTTAGATGCATAGTTGTTTGCCAGAGATGTCTGTTATTTCTTGCCTCTTTCTAGGAGGTAGGATGCTCAATAATGTAGTTAGGAAACTGCTGTGGGTGTTGAAAATGCCCAAATGGCCTGAAAGAGTCACAGGAATGCTGGCACTGGAGGGGACTCCAGAGCACATCCTAGTGCACATAGGCCGGTGTTAAGAAAAGGAAACTGAAATTTCCGACCAGGAATGTGAGGGACTGCTTCAAAGTGTGGCGCCCAGAACTGACCAGAGGGACCAGCAGAAGCAATAGTCTGCAAAACCGTCCACATAAGGAGCTGGTGCTTGGAGTAATCGCCAGGTAAACACCGACAGTAGCAGCCACACCCATTCTGAGTATGGGCTCCTCTCACCTTCTTTCCATGCTTTTCTCATTAAGGTGAAAACACGATTACGTTCCAGGCTCAGAGAGTTTGCGTAACAGGCTGGAAGTAGTCCGGGGACCTTGAACCGGGCGCTGCCCGGTGCGCGCTCGCTATCCGACGGCTGAGGCTCGGCGAGGGAAAGAGGGAAGCCCTCGGGGGCTGAGAGCCCCCCAAGTGTGCAAACCTGGCTCTGTCTTTGGCGGGGAAGGCGCGAAGGCCCCGGGGACCTTGCGAGCTGCCAAAGGAGGTGAACGTCGGGAGCGTGGGCCTCCGGAAGGCGGGCAGGCGGGACCCGCAACAAGTAGCCAGAAGGCCCCGGCCACCCATAGCCCGCAACCAGTCCGGCCGCGCAGTGATCAAGGCCGCGTCAGGCCCGGCTCGGGGTGCCAGGGGTCGGGGAGGCCTTACCCGACTGGTTCCTGGGGAGGGCCGGGTCGCGACATCGTCCCGGGGAAAGTTTGCTTCCTGACAGCAACGCCTTCCAGGGAACTCTGCCGGACGGGCATGCGCAAAGCAGCTCCGGGCCTGGGGCGGGGAGAGAGGCGGGGCCCAGAGCTGGGGGCGGGGCCTGGCTTAGGACGCAGGCGGGACCGAGAGCCGCAGACTGATGATAGGGGCGGGGCGGGGCGAGATGTGGGGCGGGGCTAGTGGGCTTAAGGCCCCGCCTTCCTGGTCGCGCAGAGCTTCCTGCTTTCCCTCAAAGGCAAGAGCTGAAGGAAGAATTCTGAAATGGACAATTGTTGAAAAGGGGGAAGGAGGAGAATGCAGTGCTGGTGACTTGAGAGAATTCTAACATTTCGTACTCACCGTTGCTAGGAGGTCAAGTTGGCTCAATTTTTTGAACAGCAGTCCACACATGTTTACCCAGCACCTACTTTGTGCTGGATGCAGCCCCTGACAGTGAGTGAACAGGCGACACGGGGCTTACAGTCAAATAGGAGAGAGGGAGACAGAAAGACCATTACCTAGATGAAACCCTTAGTCCCTGGGAAACATGTGAGGGAGAAGCAAATCAGAGGAGGCTTCCCAGACAGACTGGTATCCGAGCTGACCTGGAAAGCTGCTGTTCATGAAGTGTGGTCCTGGGAGAAGCCGCAACCGTCCACATCAGGAGCATCTGTGTGCTGTTAAAAACAGGTAGACTCTTGGGTCCCATCCAGGAGATGCTGGATCAGAAACTGGGGGTAGAACACAGTGAGCTGTTACAAGGGAGTTCTGTTGTTCTGAGAGGAAGAAGGGCTGGGGGGGAAGTTTCAGGAAAAAGGACGAATTTGTGCAAAGATCCCAGAAGTAACTGAAGAAGACCAGTGAGAGGGAGTCTGGTTTGAGCTGACATTCAAGAGGTTACTTCAGACTGAAGGCTAAGGCTGACTTCTCCATCCTGCACGGGAGGTGCAATGCCCAGGGCCCCTCATAATTTCAGGATTCCATGAAAAAGGTTTTAATTTTCATTTCTCTCTTTTCTTTTTTTGCCACCTTGAATGGCCTATGCAGTGAAAGCACCAAGTCCTAACTACTGGATTGCCAGGGAATTCCTCAACTTTAATTTCTTTCAAAAGAAGAAAATGAATATAATAAGAAGCAGTATATAATAATGAATTCTGCTTGGGTTATATTCATCTTTAACCAATGCAGCCCTAAAATAATATTCATTTTATTATTTAATGTAGAAAGGTCCATAAAACCAAAATTACCTAGGGCCCATGAAAATTACAATGTGGCCCTGGGTTGTGGGAGAGTTTGGCAACAGTTTCCAAGACCTCCAAGACCACTGAGCTCACCTGTTCACCTTGCCAGTTTGCCAAGGCTGGGAAAGCCCAAACCAAAAGCTTGATGGCATCCTAAGAATAGTGGTGATAGTTGTTCTCTTAAATGTTAGTGTACTTAGTCCTCTGAGCAACCCAACCCCATGAAGTAAGGTTATTTCCATAGAGGTATTGCCATCCTCACTCTCCAGATCAGGAAATTTAAGTGTCTTGCTTTGGGAACTTCCCTAGTGGTCCAGTGGTTAAGACTGCATGCTTCCCATGCAGGGGGTGTGGGTTCCATTCCTGGTCAGGGAACTAAACCCATATGCTGTGGGCATGCAAAAACAGAAACAATATGTTGCTTAAGTTCACACAGCTAGGGTTTAAGGTTAGATCATTCTGACCTCTGAGTTCATTTATTTTGATGCAACTTCTCACAAGCAACTGGCCTATGAATTATGTGGATCTGATTGGCAGTGAGACAGAGATGAATCGACATATGCATTGCAGAGATACTTTGTGCCAGGCATGTCTAAAAGGCAGCTCTTTGAACCCCCAAATCCTCGTAGTCTGCTGGGGATGATAATGAATGCACAGTGTACTCTAGCTCTGTGTAAAAAGAGAGTGAAAATGGAGTTGGGGGCTGGAGATTAATGTTGGGGCATTCTATTTTCTCTCCTTTCCCTCGTCCTTCGGTTGAATCCTCCTTTTGAAGATGAACAAACCGAGACTCAGAATGGGTCAGGGCCTTGCCCACAGTCACAGAGCAGGGAGCTGGCACTCGAGGAGGTTTTGAGGGCCAGGTGGGATTTCAAGAGGCCAGAGTGGGGGCAGTGGCATTCCACACAGCTGAAACAGCAGAAACCAAAGCTTGAGTTAGACTTTCAGAGAGTCAAGGAGTGTAGCGTGGCTGGAACAAAAAGGGCATCTTGCAGAGTGGAGCCCTATGAACAGAGGATAAGGCTTTGGAAAGCACAAGATGGAGGTTGAACTTCTTTCTGAAGGAAGAGGAATGAACAGGTCTGGGTTTTCAGGAAGATCTCTGTGGAATCAGGGTGGGAGATGGATTAGAAGTGAGAAATTGGGGGTCACTGGAGATGGGAACTCTTCTAAAACTCCGTACTGAAAGAACCAGAAAAAAAAAAAAAACTGCTTTAAACCTTCTGAAAAATACCTGTCCATTCTCTGACATCAGAATGGATGGGGTCTGGATTGTCTTCATGTAAAAAGCAGCATCCTGAGATGCTTTGCTGTGTACCAAGGCTAAATGCAGGGCATCTGCTTTCAATCAGAAATACTGCTGGAAAAACACTTAGCTTTTATGTTTTTTGTAATGCTGGAAGCCATAGCACAGGGAGAATCACAAGGTAAAAATGCATCACTCTCTCTCTCTCTCTCTCTATATATATATATATATATATGTATATATATATCTGCAAAACAATACAGGATTCAAGGTTAATGGGCAGTGTCTTCTAGGGAAAATAACTTGTCTCTGTAGCTTTTGCACACAGATTTGTTGGTAATGACATAAATTCTGGAAAATGTGTTGAAGAAAAACAAAGCTATAAAAAGGTTCAGGCCAGCCTGCAAAGCCAACACCTCCATGTGCATTTCAGTCAAAGAGGCACATCCCAAGGGCCAGGGTGGACCTTATCTGCAGTCTACCCACCTGGAAACTTAATTTGAGCAACACCATAAGGCCAGGTCTGGGTGGAGCAGAGATCAAGAAAATACCAACCAGCTTTTGGAGCAAAGGATGTCTGGGGAAAAAGACCTACAACAAACAATTAGCTTTAATGCCAGAAAAGTGCTCTAATCCAGGAGGGTGGGGGCAGAGTACTCTAGAGAGTGAGGAGCGGTGGGGAAGGGATTAATTCTGCCTGGGAGCAGGCAGTGGGCTCCAGGTAGAATGTGGAGGGAAGATAAGATAATAGGAAACACTAAGTACTTAGCGTTGTTTTCCTAGGAAATGAAGCTCAAGTATAGTGGGAATTCCTAATAACGTACTTTCACGGCCTTGAGAAATTTCACAGAAATAGCACCTGGAAAAACAGCATCATATATTAAGAAACTGTGTTCTTCTTAAGAATAATCTCCTTGTTACAAACCTCAAGGCCAGACCCAGAAGGGAGTATGACTGGGATCATGAAAGCGTGGACCTTGGAACACCGGGTCCGTGTCAGGCATGAACATTGCCTGTGCACTTGCTAACTGTTCCCGAGACTAGCCCAGAAGGGACCGGTCTGGGGTAAAAGCAAGATCTGGACTATGTCAGTGTAGTGTCCTGAGAAAGATAAGATCAAAGAAAGTCTTGCAGTCTGCAATTAGGAATAAAAGCTGGACTCTGAGTGGATGCTGCACCTCAGTCCAGTAGAGGCTGCAGGTCCTCTGACCCACTGCACCAGATTTCGTGTTCTGTCTTCATTCTCACTGCTCACTCCTAGACCAATAGGGCAACACTCAAGAAATGTGAGTTTCCTCTGCTCCTTCCTCAGTTTGAGGAGGGTCTCTAAACTCCTGCTGGGAAGTGTCAGAGGGGGGCTTTCGGGTTCATTCTCATGTATCTGTCAGGGGATGATGGTTACAATTGCTGGGCTGGGCCCTGCAGACGCGTCTCCATTACCTCCCTCCACCTCCCACCCCTCTCCGCAGCAAATCAGAGAGTTAAGGAGGTACAGATTTCCCCTTTCCAACAGAGGAAGATGTATTTATTTATTTTTGGCTGCACCAGGTCTTCGTTGCTGAGTATGGGCTTTCTCTAGTTGGGGTTCGAGGCCTTCTTATTGTGCTGGCTTCTCTTGTTGTGGAACATGGGCTCTAGACACGTGGGCTTCAGCAGTTGCAGCCTGTGGGCTTAGTTGCCCTGCAGCATGTGAAATCTTCCCAGACCAGGGATCGAACACATGTCCCCTACTTTGGCAGGCAGATTCTTAACCACTGGACCACAAGGGAAGTCCTAGTGGAGGAAGTGGACAGCATTCTTTGAAGATTAGGTGGAAACAAATTCCTTTTTGAATGGGTCAGGGGTCCTCAGTCTCAAAAATTACCTGGGGGCAAGGATGCTGAGTGGACATCTAAGTGCCCTGAATCCCACCCCACAGGTACTTATCTCAGGGTGGAAATTCATCTAGGAACATGCATTTCTGAGCAAGCTTCTAGGTGATTCTGATATAGCAGTGAAGGCACTAGTTTAAGTGCTCCCAAGGGAGATGACATGTTTGATGCTGAAAGGATTAAAGTCACCACCTTCTAACTCTCGGTGATGTAGCAGCCTAGCTGGAAGGAAGATGGGGGCCACCCAGTGCCAGGAGCCATCATTCCTTGTAGCAGTGGGACAATTTTCCTTTAAGGGCTTGGGAGCTGGCAGCTCAGGCAGGTCCATCTCAGCAGAGACTCCAGGGCAGTTGAGCGGATTGTTCTGTACAAAGTTGGCTGGGGTGGACGGATCCCTACTTAATGTGGTTCTTGCATTTTGGTAAAAGATCCATTTAAAAAAAAAGGTAAGACTCTTTGTGACCCTATGGACTTTTGCCCACCAGGCTCCTCTGTCCATGGAATCCTTCAGGCAAGAATACTGGAGTGGGCTGCCATTTCCTTTTCCAGGGGATCTTCCCGACCCAAGTATTGAACCAGGGTCTCCTGCATTGCAGGCAGATTCTTTGCCATCTAAGCCACCAAGGAAGCCCCATTAA